AGGAGAATAATGGGGAATAAGGGAATAATGGGGAATAAGGAGAATAAAGAGGGGGGATAAGGAGAATAAAGGAATAAGGAGAATACAGAGGGGGGGTAACAAAGAGAATACAAATGGGGAATAAGGAGAATACAGAGGGGGGATAAGGAGAATATAGAGGGGGATAAGGAGAATACACAGGGGTGGGGGATAAGGAGAATACACGGGGGGGGAGTAAAGAGAACACAGGGAGGGGGGGAGTAAGGAGACCACAGGGAGGGGGTGAGTAATGTGAACACAGGGAGGGGGGGTGAGTAAGGAGGACTCTGGTGTTTTTTTTACATTTTTATATGGTGTGCGTTGGAAGAGGGGTAGTCTTATACGGTAAATATATATCCCAAATTGTATATTTTAACTGGAAAAGTTGCGGGTCGTCTTATACGCCCAGTCGTCTTTACGCCGGAAAATACGGTACTTGCCTGTGCAATGATTGAAGAGAGCTATTGAGAGGAACAAGTCCACTATCTGGAATTCTAAAATGTTAAAGAGAAACCCTGTGTTCCAAATGCTGATTGTTTAACATGAACAATATTGATATTGCCAGCCCAGAATCAACATGTGCAGAAGGAGAGAGACCTACAAACAGAAATTTAAGGAGATTCTTTTCAGAACTGACAGCACCTTAGAATGAAAGACTACATGGTGTGAAGCGGTTTTGTAACTTATAAGGTTGCTTTAAATCAGGGTAAACGATTTGGCAGATACAAATTAAAGCACTCTACCTTCTCAAAGAACATTTGGAAATGAATCCCCAGTAACATAGTAGGATTACACAGAGAAGCAACAGACAAAGATCCAAGGGTTCAGGTCCCATGAGACTCAGCTGGGCCTGAAAGTGAGAGGAATGTGTTTTAGATTTAGCCAGAGAGTTATTTTCTTGACAGTTATCGATCAAGTCAGTCAATAAATCTATCATGTGAGTGCAATACAAGGCTAGTGGTCTGGAAGACATATGGTCTACCACCTCTGAGCTAGAAGTCTTGTATTTGCAATATGTGATGAGAAACGTGCCTGATGTATGTGCTTGCAAGCATTTATAATATCAGATGCTTTCTCTGGTACCTTGAGCCCTTGAGATAGTGCATGTATTGGAATTTGTGAATATGAATGCATCAAATGCAGATAATATAATCAATTAATCAATATATTTGTGAAGAAACTTGGAGAAAACAAGATATAGGAGTCGGAGGCAGACAAAAACATGCAATAGTGCATTTAGTAGAATATAGGGTAGAGACTTAAATATTTCACATGGACAATAATTTATACTAGTCTGATGAAATTCTCAAGATATAGGTGAATGGGGTGCAAATATGAATAGTGTATAATTAGAACTTTATTAGAACCTATAAGGTCAAGGTATATGTTTCAGTCCAATGTCTTTAATCAATAGTTTTTGTTTTCTGCAATTTTGGGCAACAGCTTTAACCCCTTAGTGACCAGACCGCTTTTTAATTTTCTTACCATTTGGGACCAAGGCTGTTTTTACATTTCTGCAGTGTTTGTGTTTAGTTGTAATTTTCCTCTTACTCATTTACTGTACCCACACATATGATATACCGTTTTTATCGCCATTAAATGGTCTTTCTAAAAATACCATTATTTTCTTCATATCTTATAATTCACTATAAAGAAAATATAAAATATGCTGAAAAAAAACCCCACACTTTTTCGAACTTTGACCCCCAAAATCTGGTACGCATCTACAACCGTCAAAAAACATCCATGCTAAATAGTTTCTAAATTTTGTCCTGAGTTTAGAAATACCCAATGTTAACATGTTCCTAGCTTTTTTTGAAAGTTTTATGGCAATATGTACAAGTAGCACTTTGCTATTTCCAAACCATTTTTTCCCCCCACAATTAATGCAAATTACATTGTAACACTGATATCTGTCAAGAATCCCTGAATAACCCTTCACATGTATATATGTTTTAAAAGAAGACAACCTAAGGTATTAAGAGGTATTTGACTCTTTTCATGCAACCATTTTACCACCAATCTATGCCATATTAAAAAAAAAATAATAATAATTGAAGATTATGCTAGCGCTAGTGTACTTATAATCTTAATTTTAATAATGACAGGAGGCGAGTATTTTGCATATAACTCTACTAACTCCACATAGCAGTAAAGAAAAGTGAAAACATTAACCAATCAAAAATGCAGTAGGAGGTATAGTATTCACAGTGATGAGGCTCCTCCCCCTCTTTCGAAAGCGACATCAAAGACAAAATATTGAAAACGGAAAAGGTCTTGAAACATGCACCAACGGGTGACTTTCCAAATACGAAGTCCTAGTGCCTGAAGGACGGCCCAAACATGTCCATCCTGAGCATAAGATGTAATGTCCCGAAGTTATGCTGAAAAAGAACGTGGAGAAGGTTAGGTACCGATCTGGCAACTGTTTGCAGTAATGTAATAAACCCAACACAATTTCCACCGAACTGATGTAAAACTAGATGTAAAACTAGTATAAATATAACAGTAAATGATAACAGTGATCTAACTAAACAAGGTACAAGCCTGATTCATACAAGATGAGTAGGAAAATAGAGGAAGTAAGGAATACACAGAGTATAGGTATACTTACTTGGATCCTTATCCCTCAAGGGTGTGGAAGGTGGGAAAATACTCGCCTCCTGTCATTATTAAAATTAAGATTATAAGTACACTAGCGCTAGCATAATCTTCAATTTTACCACATGACAGGAGGCTTCATATTTTGCATTTTTTAACGCTGAAGCAGGAGAGACGTGGCTGCCCCCAAGTTCGGGCGGAAGTAGAAGGTCCGAAAGGTCGATTCTTGTGACCAATCTGCGGCTCGTAAGATGTCTGCCAAGGACACGCCAGCGGTGAAAGCCGATGAAGCTGCCGCACCGCGGACGGAGTGGGCTCCGAAGGTTTCCTCCATGCCCGCCAGGGACAGAATCCATCTTACCCATCTGGCAAGGGTGGTGGTAGAGACGGGAACATGTGGTCTAACGTAGGACACCAAGAGTTGGCCCAAAGGGGAGACCCGCAATCGGGATGTGACCTCCACGTACCGATGTAGGGTAGATACCACGCAGAGAAGCGGTTCTGTAGGAAAAAAGGGGTAGAAGACCGATGTGGAGTCGGATTTCGTACGGCGTGAAACTTGGAAGGTAACTCCCGGGGAGACCGAAAAGGCATCGATGTTGAATGCTCGTACGTCCGAAACTCTGCGGAACGAGACCAAACAAAGTAGGAGCGTCAGTTTGGCTGATAGTTGTCGGAGCGAGAGCCTGTCGTTGTCTGGCCAGTCCCTCAGGAACTGTAGGACGATTTCGACGTCCCATAGCCGGGAATATTTAGGTTTCGGAGGCCTCTGAAGTCTGATGCCCCTGAGGAGGCGGCATACCAATGGGTCTTTCCCGACGAGGATCCCATGGGCCGGAACGTGGGCCGCCGAAATTGCGGAGCGCACGACGTTGAGGGATCGATAAGATCGGCCCGTGGAGAAGAGATGAGAGAGAAAATTTATGATGGCTGTTATAGGTGCAGTAAAGGGATCGAAATTCCGCTCACTGCACCAAGTAGACCAGGAGCTCTATGCCGATAAGTAACATCGTCTGGTTCCTGGTGCCCATGAGTCCCATAGGAGATCTCGAGACGTTTGCGATAACTCTTCGGTTTGCCAGGCTCCCCTGAAAGCGTCCAAGCCACCAGCGTGAGACGGTCTTCCAGGATGAGCGGGTGTTGGTTCCCTCTCGGGTCCGTAAGGAGCGTCGGATAGGACGGTATGAGGAGGGGGTCCCTGTAGGATGACGCTAGAAGATCCGGAAACCATGGTTGACCCTGTCATAGGGGTGAGATGAGGAGCAGGGATCCGCGTTGGGTCTTCAGGTACTGCATCGTCCTTGCTACCATGGCGAATGGGGGAAAGGCGTACGCCCCCAAGGGTGGCCAAGGTTGGAGAAACGCATCCACTGCCTTGCTCTCTGGGTCTGGGAGCCAGCTGAAGTACTCGTCTGTCTGCCTGTTGTTGCGTGACGCAAAGAGGTCCTGGTGGAGGGGACCCCTCCTGACCGAAAGGCGTTGGAAGATCGCTGGGTCCAGTCTCCAGTCGCTGCTGTCCCGCCAGTGGCGTGAAAACCAGTCCGCTGTCAGGTTCGTTTCTCCCGGGAGGTATTCTGCCATGAGGGAGATTTTTCGGGGTAGACAAAAATCGAAAATTTCCTTCATGATCTCTGAGAGGAGCCTGGATCGGGCTCCTCCCAGACGATTGATGTAGCGGACCGCTGAGATGTTGTCCATCTGGAGGAGGATGCAGCAGTCTGTCCGGTCTCTCGCTAAGCTGCGGATCGCAAATGACCGCGCTAGGAGTTCTAGGCAGTTTATGTGAAGGTTGGTTTCTTGGGAAGTCCAAGTGCCTCCTGTTGATCTGCCCTCGCTTGTGGCGCCCCAGCCCCACAGGCTGGCGTCTGATTCCAGAACTATGTCCGGTGCATTCCCGAAGATGGCTCGGCCGTTCCAAGCTTCCATGCTGTCCAACCACCATCTGAGGTCTTCCCTGACTTCTTCCGTTACCGGAATGTTTTGGTCGTAAGAAGGGTTCTGGCAGAGGAAGGAGGCCTTCAGGCGCTGCATCGCCCTGTAGTGTAGTGGGCCCGGGAAGATTGCCTGTATAGATGCGGACAGTAGTCCCACGATCCGAGCCAGGCTGCGGAGTGGAATGGTGCTGCAGCGGATGACTTTGCGTAGTTCCTTTTTGATGGCTGTGATCTTTGAGATCGGGAGCCGTAAGGTGCTTGTCTTGGAATCTATCTCGAAGCCCAGGAAATGTACCGTCTGGGCTGGGAACAGCTCCGATTTTTGGTAGTTCACCACGAAGCCTAGGGACATCAGGAGTCGAATGGTATATCGTGTGTGTTGTGTTAGACTGTACCTGTCTGAGGAAAATAGTAGCAGGTCGTCCAGGTAGATAATGCACCGAATTCCTTGAGTTCGTAGTTGTGATACTACCGGCTTGAGAAGCTTGGTGAAGCACCACGGTGCAGAGCTGAGGCCGAAGGGGAGGCATGTGAACTGCCAGGGTTGGTCTTGCCATAGGAATCTGAGAAATTGGCGCAAGACGCATGGACGGGGACCGACAGGTAAGCGTCTTTGAGGTCCAGTCTCGTAAACCAGTCCCTGTTTTGGAGTAGATCGCTCAGCAGGTGAATGCCTTCCATCTTGAAGTGCCTGTACGTTACAAAAGCGTTGAGTCCCTTCAAGTTTATAACCGGACGGAATTCTCCTGATTTCTTTTTTACTAGAAAAATGTTGCTGAAGAAGCCCTTTCCGTCGTGAGCCGGTTCTATCGCTCCTTTCGCCTTGAGCTCCCGTAGTTCGCCGTCGATTAGGCGGCGGTCCTCCTCGGAGCATTGAATGGGATGTGGAGGAGCGAGCTGGTAAGGGGGTTCTACGAAGTCGATGACGTAGCCCCGAACCATCTGGAGGATCCATGCGTCCGTGGAGATGGTCATCCAGTTCTGAAAAGACAGAGCAATACGGCCTGCAGTGTAAGGAGTAAGTGAAACTAGAGACACTATATTGCTTACCTGTGGGGAAGCGTGCTCTGCCACGGTTACGAGGTCCTCTGCCTCGGTCTGCTCCTCGGGTATAGGAGAAGGGTTGCCTGAAGCCCACTTCCGGGTAGAAAGGCTGTGGTCTGTGTGACCGGGGGCCAGAAGGCCAGAATCGGCTGGCTGCTCGGCCCCTGTAGCGGCCAGCCCGTCCAAAAACACCCCGACTGGGGTAGCCTCTGAAGACTCGTTTCATAGACGTCTGAGCCTTATTGAGGGACGTAAAGATGTTAGCATGCTTGTTCAGCTCTTTTAAGAAAGGTTCTCCGAACAATTTGCCCTGTGCCAATGGTCCCAACTCTTTGGTGCCCAAATCCACCAGTTTTCAGTCAATACGGAGTAAAGCTGCCTTGCGCCTCTCAGAGGAGAGGGCTACGTTGGTGTTACCAACAAAACAGAAGCACCCTTGTGCCCATTCCCTAATATCATGTGCCCACTCTTTGACCATGCTAGAGTCAGTCGAATTGATCGGCCCTAGTGAACGCATCATCCGCCAGGTACAATATGCGGGAGAGTGGGCCAATTGAGTCCAGCAGTTTATCCTGGACCCCGTGGAATCCTTTCTCCACGCCCCGCCGAGGTTCGCGGCCACCTCGGGACATAAAAGTGTTCATCACCTGATCAAACTCCGGGGTCTGTGTTACGTTGTCGGGGAGCGAGGGGCGCGGGCATTCAGAGCGTAGACGGTTGCGCACCGTTTTGTCAAGTGGTTTGCGTAGCCAGCAGTGCATAAATTTGGAGAGGTGGCCGGGGGGGGGTCCAGTCCCCAGAGCGTGGATGGCGGATATTATGAGGGTCAAAGAGACGTTGTCCCGTAGGGTCTAGGATGGTATCCTCTTCTTGAGCAGGTGCGAGTTCGTCTGGCAACTGGATGTCGTCCAGGAAGGTGCCTCGTAAGAAGCCAGAATGGGAGCCGGAGTCCGAGTCCCAATTGTCATCTTGCGAATCAGAGTCCGCGGCTTGCCACTCGTCTAACACGGCCATAGAGCACGTGTGCTCGTCCCCCTCATCCGAGGAGTAGTGGGCAGGAGTAGGTGGGGTTGGTCTGTGGCGTTTAGAGGGTGCCTTACCCTTGCCTGGTGTATCACCCACTTTCTCACCTTTCCAGTGACGTTTGGTGGGGTGTGAATCCGCCTGTACGTGTGACTCAGAGGCCTCAGAGTCTTCATCCTGAGGTTGGGCCATCGTGGCTTTTTTAGTTTTGTCGGTAGGTGCCGACATAACCCTGGACAGCGCTTTCTCCATAGAGGCGGAGATGGCGTCCGCAATCATAGCCTGGAAGTCCGCAGGGGTTTGGGATGCTTCCATAGTGATTTTGGTGTTGGCACAGGGTAGATGGGCTAGGGGTCAGGTAGTAGAGTATGGATTCAGTAATAATAATAACACCCCAGCAGGATATGTGGTAGCACAGGTACCAGAAGTACCAGAGACCCCAGCAGGGTAAATTGGGTTTTCTTGCTGGGCCTCACCCAGAAATGTATATGACAGTGAGGGTGGCACGAAATCCACTCAATCTGGTGTTAAGATGGGGTTGGGATGCCCCTTACCATATACATATATATAGGTGGCACAAAATCCACCTGATGGCAGCAGTGAAATAAGGGCCTCACCCTGTTAGAATTGTAGGTGACACAAAATCCACCCAGTAAATCAATAATAATAGTGGACTCACCACTCAATAGGGCCAGCAGCCTCTGAATCCATATAACAAAAAAAAAAAATGCCAGTGACCCCTGCCAGCTGTACTTCTAAAGGTTGCAAGCCGTCAGCACAGAACAGTATAACACACCCCAGTCGGCTGGGATGTGTGTGGGTGTCTGGGAACGAGCGGGTTGCGGTCGGCGGCCGGCACTGCGCAGCCCTCGGGACTCCCAAAATGGCGGCCGAGAATCTCACGAGACGCGAGATCCAAGATGGCCACCGGGGAGCCGGGAAAGATGTTTCTCGGCGTGCCGGCGATCTCGAAAGCGGCTGGGGAGCCGCAAGGGAGTATTAGGAGCAGGGTGAGCATTACCCTGAGGGAAATAAACTGGGAGGCCAGCGGAAAAACGGGGGAAAACGGAGGGAGAAAAAGGGATCACAGAAAACCCCTAAGAAGAACAAGCAGAGACAAAATAGAATAAAAACACATAGTGAGACATAATAATAACTGAATAAAAACCGCCAGGACAGGAGGGAGAAGTCCCCCAGAAGAAAAAACAGTATAAAGTTAAATAAATATAACATATAATATAGGAATACAGTATATATAAAAGGAAGAGCCTGAAACTCTGACCTGTCTGCTGATGGAGCAGTAAAGAAAGAGGAGGAGGAGCCTCATCACTGTGAATACTATACCTCCTAGTGCATTTTTGATTGGTTAATGTTTTCACTTTTCTTTACTGCTATGTAGAGTTAGTAAAGAGAGTTATATGCAAAATATGAAGCCTCCTGTCATGTGGTAAAATTGATGATTTTTTTTTTTGACACACATAGCAATTTAAGAATACATGTACTGAGAACTTTAAGGGTTACTGCCAAAGAACACCCCCAATATGTGTTCAGCAACATCTCCTGAGTACAGTGATACCACCCATGAATAGGTGTGTCAGGTTCTCTGGGGGCTAAAAGACCCTATTTGGAGGGTGCGCATTCCAGTTTTCCAACTTGGAATTTTCACAACTGGTCATTATGCACTTATGTCCTATTTGGGACATTTTTGAAGCCGGCCAATGTAATTTACCCCATCAAACCATAGAAGTAGACAAACCAGGGTATTCAATATGGGGTATGTCCAGTCTTTTTTAGTAGCCACTTAGTCACTGGCCAAAGTTAGCATTTATATTTGTTTGTGTGTTAAAAATGCAAAAAAAATTATGAACGCTAACTTTATTTTAAATAGTTTTTTATTGTCGTCACATTGTATAAGCGGACATCAAACATATTATTATAAAAGCATATGGTCGCCTACGCAGAGGCGTATACATATTTGATACATGTAAACGGAACATGTGCAGTTAGTTTAGTGAGGCAGGCGTGTACTCTGTGTTCTTTACGACATATTTCCTGGGTTTGCAGGACCTAGTGTGATTTGGGTTTGTGTGTTTGTCTTGTGTGAGCTGGTTTGTGTAGGTGTTTTGTGGTAGCTAGTTTGTGTAGGTACTTTTTGTTAGCTGGTTCGTGTAGTCACCTCATGTTGTGAACGCTAACTTTGGCCAGTGTTTGTGACTAAGTGGCTACTAAAAAAGACTGAACATACCCCATTTGCAATACCTTGGGTCGTCTTCTTTTGCAAATGGTATGCCATCATGGTGGTAATTCTCATTCCTGGGCTACCATACGCTCTCAAAGGCAACATAACCAATCCACGCTGTGTAAAATGACAAAGAGCACTCTGATTGGCTTAAACCCACCAATCAGAGTGTTCTTAGACTAATTGCAGGGCGGGGCAAGGCTTTATAAGCCTTCCCCCGCCCTGTGGAGCTCAGTCTACGCGGAGCCCTCCATGGGTGAAGATGGATTATTTTTTTGCGCTCGGGTTTTTTCTTTTTCGTCGGGTTTTTTTTTTATTTTCAATTCGACGGTTTTTTATTTGGCCTTTTTTGGGGCTGAAAAATGAAGATTTGAGAAAAAAGAAGACGTCGAATGGTAAGTTTAATTTTATTTTACAGGTTAGTTATTTTATTCCCCCCTCACTATTTTTTAGGGTGAGGGGGGTAGGTAGGGCGATTTTATTTGGGTGGGGGGGTGGGTGACTAGGGGCTTGGGGACCCCTAGTCACCTTGGTGGGGGGAATAGACTTAGGGCCCCCACCCGCCGCCCAGGGGTGGGGGCCGGGGGGGAGGACAGTAGGTCCCCCCCTCATTATCTTTATGGCCCCCACCCGCCGCCCAGGGTGGGGGCCGGAGGGGGGGTTGACAGTAGGTCCCCCCCCTAATTATCATTTGGCCCCCACCCGCCGCCCAGTGGTGGGGGCAAGCGGGAGGACAGTAGGTCCCCCCTCATTATATGCATGGCCCCCACCCGCCGTGCAGGGGTGGGGGCCGGGGGACACACAATAGGTCTCCCCCCTTATTTTACTTTAGGGCCCCCACCCGTCGTTTAGGGTTGGGGGCCAATAGTTTTTTTTTTTTTACAGTGGACATGCACCTACTCGCGGTATAGCGAGTAGGGGCATTGGGGAGATTTTAATCTCCCTTGTGCTATTATGGGGGTCATATTGACCCCCATAGAGTGAGGGGGTAGCCTGGGGGGCTTATGAAGTGGTGGGGAGCACTGCTCCCTGCCACTTCTATAGTTACATATTACAAGGAGGGAGCTGAGTGCCTGTAGCTCCCTGTCACATATTCATCCGCTTATAGAAATGTGGTTAATGACATTTACCCTCCACACAGGAAAAGTTGTGCCGAGCAGCAACCTAATCCACTGAAGGTTTAATGCTGAGAAGTAATTGTGCAAATGAAACCTGGTGTCATGTATTCATCCGCTTATAGAAATGTGATTAATGACATTTACTGTCCACACAGGAAAAGTTGTGCCGAGCAGCAACCTAATCCACAGAAGGGTTAATGCTGAGCAGTAATTGTGCAAATGAAACCTGGTAACTGACTTTGGGGTCAAAGGCCGGTTACAGCCTATCAGAAAGAAAGGAGGGGTATTTAGGCCCAGTTCTCAGCCTGCTCAGTGCCCTGTCGTGGTTTCCCTTGT